GTTTTTATGGAACAATGATCAGCAATGTATAAGTACAAGAACAGTTTAATAGTGAATCATCACCATAATGGCCACTTAAACAACAATAATGTTAATGCTAAATGATATCCAGTATAATGAGTTACAATTCTGGTCAGTGAAGTGTACTTGAGCCTTGTTCATGGGGCTTTGGGGGTAAATATGACAATGTTTTAGGCAGTTACAAAGCATGCATTTATTCTGTTCAGGTGGTCTTATGATCATAGATCATAAACCAAGAGACCTTTCTGACCCATTTTTCAGGAGAGTGAGACCTGTGCCTCCTCAAGTAATGGCTGTTTAGTATCATCTATTTTCCTCATGGTGTTATATCTTCCATCAGTTATCAGCTTATTTCAGATTTGATCCCATGAGGCCCATTTTCCCAGTCTCCCATTGCAGTCATTCTTGATTTGTTGAAAGACCTGGGTTTCTGCTAAAGCTTTCTTGCTCCTCTCAGGCAGTTAGTAGTCTTTCCTCGTCCACCATTCTTCAGGGACTGGCCCTGTACATGTGTGATAGGGGAGCTCTTGGATCGGCTTTGCAGCAGGGGGTTCCTTTGAGGCCAATCTGAAGAGTTCCTTAAGAGAGACAGAACGAGGCAAAATGAGGTAAAAGTCCTAAGGTTAGAGAGAGCGGTCTTTGTTTGAAATGTGAGGCGGGATTTTGTAGTCACACACCCACAGCATGTAGGGAAAGTATACTTGGACAACAATAGTTTATTTCTGGGCTTGATGCCTTTTCATTAGCTCTGCTCTACCCAGTCTCTTAGGAGAAGTATCAGAGAGATGCTTAAGAGCCTCCCTGTGGAGTCTGGGGGTGTTTTGATAATGAACAGTAATGTGTGTATTGTACTGTTCTTACTTTTAAAGGAGATCAAGGATGTTTAAGTACTTGGTTTTGCGAGCCCGAAAAGCACTGTTGTTGAAAAGATCAGTTTAGACCTGCATGAATTAATATGCTGGTTGAGGCCTGTCCATGCTGGCTAGTGCTGGTCTGGCACTCGTCTAGCTGGTGGAGTTCACTAGCCAAACCAATATGGTCAATGCGGTGAAACTGGTTGAACAAGGAGGCCCGGGTTTTTTTTTTTTTTTTTTTTTTTTTTTTTTTAACGAGGATATTAAGTAAAGTGCAGATTTTGGTGAGTTTTGAGATACTGTATATCAATTGGCTGAAGGTTTGGGATATTTAGATATTTATATTTTAAGTAATTTTGATAATATCACTTTGCTTTTATTGCTTTATGTCATAGCTTGCATTTTGGGTAACACTTTAGTATAGGGACCAATTCTCACCGTGAACTAGTTGCGTATTAGCATGCCTATTATAACATATTGGCTGTTTATTAGTACTTATAAAGCACATATTCTACATGACCATATTCTACATCCCTAATCCTACCTAAATACTTAAATTTAGCAACTACCTTACTAACTACTAATAAGCAGCAAATTAGGAGTTTATTGAGGCAAAAGTCATAGGTAATGGTTTGTTAATAGCGAGTATTGGACCTTAAAATAAAGCGTGACCGCATTTTGATTAATATCTTGTTTTTTAATGCCATGTTTTATTATTTGCAATATTTTTGGTTATTCATTCATTCATTCATTCATTCAGTCATTCATTCATTTCAGTGTTACTTTTATTTTTTTTATCCCTTTGATATTTATTTATTTACGTAGTTAGTTAGATATTCAGTTAGTTATTTGGTTAGTTATTTTTATTTATACCCCTTTCCATATGCATATTATATTTGTTTCTTTGTTTGTTTATTCCAGTGTTACTTTATCCCTTTCATACACACGCTTATTTATTTATTTATTTATTAGTTTGTTTATTAGTTTGTTTTATTTGTATCCCTTTCATACAATATATGTATTTATTTATTTTTTTATTTTTTTATCAGTGTTAGTTTAATTTGTATTCCCTCCATAAACACATTTATTTGTTTGTTTGTTTTCCAGTGTTAGTTTTATTTGTATCCCTTTCATACACATTTATTTATTTATTTATTCATCCATATTAAAAAAGACCAGCAATAAACATCAGCATTTAACTAAATAATATTTTACTTTATAAATAATAAAATATATAAGTATATATATATATATATATATATATATACAGTCATGG